CAAAAATTCAAGGGAAAGAGGATTGATCCTAGGAAAACACTCAATATTTTACATTTAAGAGATTGTAGTTTTTAGATGCTGTCCCCACCTTCGTCAGCAAAGATATATTATGATACACCGTGAAAAATAAATTGAAACAGCTCGCTAGAAAGTTATGAACAACAGTGTAGGCAAGGCTCAGATTATCAAAATTCAATCTGGCGGGATCTTGAACCTTACTCTAAATACAACAGTTTAAAGAAAGCACCACTGGTTAAAAAAAGCATATCTTGAAGTAGATACGCTTAATTACAGCGACGCCTCGTGTGAAAATTTTCTGTAATTAGAAAACATCAAATACAGAAGTAAAAGCTTCATAAACTATTTAACTGTACGAATCAAAAATTGAAAACTGAATGTTCGAGAAGCTGAGCTGGAAAAACGTTTTATAGGACAGCTGATCTGTAATACTATTTTTTACAAATCCCTCGGCGATCATGTAGTTTTATTACATTTGCGGGTTAGACACTTCAAAGGCATGCTTTAAAAATTTTTTCAAAACATTATAATGTAGTCCAACTCCTTTTTGGTACGTAAAGATAGCTTTCTTGATTAATTTCAAGAAGACCTTTGACTGCATTCGCTGCACAAGCCGTTTATTTGGCGTGTCATTAAAAAACGCGAGAATTTTGACACAAATTATATTGTGTCATGTACTGGTGTTTGGCGTAAGATATGAAATTTGCATGGTATCTCTTAGCTGCCACCAGATAGGTTACATTAATTGCTTTAAAAACAAGAGTATGATAAGTTTACTCTCCCAAAGATTCTGCAGCAGAATGAAATTTTGGTCATGGCGTTGCAGACTGTACGCTGCAAATATAATTAATCCTTTTTGAACCCGACTTTGAGTCAAACTTCTTGGCTGCTGTTTACAAGAGGTAGTAAAGTGAAGAAAATTAGGCGTGAGTGACGCCTCAATCTCCACAGAGGTCCCGACTTTTGCACAGAAAAACTTCTATCTATCTAATATGACCTTTTTGAAAAGAGATGGTTCTTATTCTTGCTCTGATATCTAGAATTTTTCTTTATAAAAAATGTTTCCTTAAAGAAGAATCCTTTATTTTTCTTTTTTTTTTTTGCAAATTTTTCTACCAGCTTTTTTTTGTTGTGAAGTTCGACTTTTTGCTGTTTATACATTTATTAGAGCTTCATTTGTGCTATAAAAAACTCAAGTAACGAACCACAAAGCAATTAAAGCCATTATTAAATTTCTGCTTAGAGCTCTTAAAGCTCTGCTTATAAATAGGCTTAGAAAAAACCTGAAATCAACGCGGGGTTCGAATTCAGTAGCCTCACCAATATTTTTAGAGTTCAATCTAAGGGAGCTAAAGAAAAGTTACCATACAAATGAGTTACTATTGAAGCACCGCAACTGTTGTAAATCTGCAGCAAAGGTTTTGCAGCAAAAGGCCAATGTTGTGGTAAAGCCAATTAAGAAATAAACGGGATACTGCAATAAAAAAAGAAAAAAAAAATTCGTTTTATATGGTGTTGCTATTGCGTGCGAAACGGCGATTGAAGTTCAAAAGTTGTGATTTCTAATTACTTCTTAAGTGGAAACTATTGGGAAGAAGGTGAGGTGGGCGAGTACTGAAAGATCAGTTTGAAATGCTTTAGGGTACAAAAGCAGAGAATCGGCAAATTTTGAATATCATATCGGGTATGCTAGTCATTAGTAGAAGCCTGGAACCAAACACATGCATTAACCGGTGACAGTTTCGTATGAGCCGATCAGTGGTTTCGTTAAACGATTAGCTTATTGTATGTTCCCTTCTCGGCTTAAGCACCGGCTCAGTTTCTCCTAATTGTTTCTCTTCTTTTGTTAGCCAACTTATTTCTAATACAGCCACTTGTAATAAATAGTATCTTTTCACCTGTCATAATACCTATATTTTAGAGCTATTTTTACAGTGAAAATCTAGTTGCTATAATGCTGTCGCTGTTCGACAACTGTTTTCTATAGTAGAACATTTTATTACTCAAGCTTGAGGTCTGACCGATTAGCTGTAGAGTCTAACTTATACTGCAAACTTGCTGTACACAGTCAACTACCAATCCCACCTCTATTTCATCAACCACCAGGTTTGTCAATATGGAGTGCGAAATTTTGATATTTTGTACTGAGTTTGTAAGTTTCAAGTTTCACTGTATTTTAAACTTGTCCAAGCTGACCTTAAAGCGCCCTTTAAATTATACTGATGATGGTGTTTCTGTTGGAAGTGTTTAGAAAAGCTGGAGAATTGCCAACTGACTCTCTAACTGTAGTTTTGCTGACAGAAAGAATGTTTTCATTGACCTTTTCGGTTGTAACTAGTCAGATTTGTTTCAGAAATACGGGGGTTTTCCTACATATTGTTTGGAGCCCTGTTGAAATACAGTTGAGTGTGTGATTAGAGCCATAATCGATACCAAGTTTCTCTCATTGTCATTAATTCTCGCCATAGCTTTATTCGGAATAAAGCGCAGGGTTTTTATAGGAACTACAGGCTGCATAAAGTTCAAGAATTCAGTGGAAGTTGTGGTAATACAACCCCAGTAATTGATATTAGGCACTGTTCCGGCTATCTAACAATCCTTATAAGTGAGGACAGTTTATCTGTTATCTTTGATAAGTTTGAAGTGACGTTTGTTCAAATAATCAACACAAGCTTTGATTCACCGCATAATGACATTCCGGGCTCTACTTACTGAAAAAGTACATTATGTGTCAAATAAATGCAGCAAAACATAAGCCGGAATTCATTTTACATTTAACAGAGCCGCCGTCCGCAACACTGGCCGACATCTTCCAGAAAACCACTTATCAACGAGCTGTCCTGAAACTTCTTCTGTTTATAAATCTTATCCGACTGTCGTGCCTTGAAGACAGTTGCAGTGAAGGGGATGATATGTCGCGTGAGAACTGCTCAAAAATTCCCCGCGCATGCAATGTTGCGGAAGCAGTTAATGCGCTAAGGGACGGGAACGAAGAACACCTTATCTTGCAGCATCTTACCCTATTCTCTCATTAGTGAGTATTCAAATTTTGACCCCTGATGGTAAACGTAAGCTAACCTACACAGATTTCCCTTCTTTATGCACTGCTTCCATTAGTCAAGGAACGGCTTTGAGTATTCGGAAGATGAATTCATCCTAGTGGGGGCTTAAATGCTACAGTAAGAAAGAAAATTTGAGCAGAGTTGAGGTAAGTATTGCCAGATGACAACTCTATGTTGCGTTTAAGCGACATATTATACCTTATTTAAAGGGCTAAGTTTCTGTCCTATTGATAGGACACTTGTAAAAAAAAGCCTATTTAAAATAACCTAGTCGAAAACCTACAAATTCCAAACTAAAGCAAGCCACAGTGACAGTTCAATAAATCTTGATTACTGTAACAGCACAACTCTTTACTGATAATTATTTCTTTTCAGTGTAGAAACGCAATAATTTTATTTTTCTTTTTTAAATGGTATAAGATTTGTTATTTTTATTCTAGGCCTAGACCGCTGTTTCTTTACAAATATTCTTCGCTGCGTACAAGCCAGTTGAAGCAAAATCCAACTGGAAATCTACAAAGACGAAGCAACAGTTATCAATGCGATTTCATTACAACATCTGAAAAAACCGCATCTATGTTGAACACATTAATTATTAGCTCGAGATTTATCGATTTCGCTCAACACTTCCAAAGATCCTCCGGCTTTGTTTACAGGGACCGCATTACCTGTAATCCAAAACAGATTATCTCTACTAATTAAACATCTAATAATTAGAAACGACAAAAAATTTTTATTTTGCCTTTTTTCCAAACCAGGTCATACTGAATAAATTATGTTTTTGAGACATACCAGGTTGGTGACCACGTAAAAGTATGAAGAATACCTATCATTTTTGGTGGAGCAAGATTTAGGTTGTCCATGAGAACAACAAAGTCTTCCAATTTTTTTGTTAGCCGCAAGTTGTATTTCTTCTCTTCACCAACTGTGGTGTGCAAGTGACCCTAAAATAAAGGTTTGCTTTTTTTATCGTCAATAATGATTGAAAACTGACTTAAAGTTCTGAAAAAAACTGCATTAGAGTTATACAGCATTTTTCTTACTGACACTAGTACTTAACTATTATCACAAACTTTGTAATCGTGTCCTGGGTGTAGTGCATAGTCATCGGGTAAGCTAAGAATTTTACCATGGACGGATTCGTACAATAATCGGGAATTTCCTACAAGCAAAACAGATTATGCTGTCACGGAGTATAAATTGTACTGTGAGAAAAATCAAGAAAGATTGCTTTGATTAGCTCAGTAGCTCAGATTTCTAATTTCAACCTTCTTGGAAGTCCGTTCGGCCACAACCACGGAAAAGTAGAGCATCACCTGTGAAAGCTTTCCTGAGTTTGTGTGCTACAAACGTAGCACAGCCTATAAATAGGAAATTCTGTTTTTAAATTGTGCAGTTTTTAGCTTTTATAACTTAAGAAAGTTGCTGTCCACAATTGAAGACTTTCTAAAGAAGTGAATAATTAATCTGATGAAAAAACAAAATCCTTATTACCAATAACAATCAAAACAATAGCACTCTAGACACATTTACAATACTATTTACCATTAGTGTGGCCAGGTGTGAGCCGTACTTCGATCTCTCCCTGACCAAATTTAACAACTTCGCCATCGTCAACGTACACATTTGCTTCAGCTCCACTATTTTTTGAGATAACAGATTTTAATTTTGGAAAAACAGTCTTTAGACGTCCAGCTCCTGTATAGTGATCAGCATGAACATGCGTATCTAGGACAAAAAGTGGCTCCAAACCAAGTTCGTGCAAAAGCTGTAAGATGCATATTTACGATTAGAATAATGGTCAGTCAGAAAAAGCTAAAACTGAAGAAATTAAAGAATCTGTTATTTCTATCAAAACTTGCCTAAATTTGTTACTTTAGCTATCCATGATTACCTATCATTACCGAGCTTAATTCACGGCAGAAGCCGATAGGCATTAATTTTCATGTTTAGGATCCTAAAGCCTTTTCATACTTTGTTTCACTCGAAAAAACTGTTTTAATAAAAGATTCAAAACAATTACGAAGCCAAAACTGTTTAATCTGACAGTAAACGTTGCCTTTTTGGCGAAAAGGGAACTCTGTGTTTCCCCATTATAACCTTCACACGAATGAAGCTGGAATTTAAGTAGGAGTCTGAAGGGTTGCATTTATGCATTTACAAAATAAAATGGTTGGGTTCCAATTTCACTTTTAAACAAGTTACATTACTCGTCAATTTTTTAGTTACTTTAGAGAGAATACCAAAGTTGGAAAATACAAAATGATTTTTTGCAAGTTTTTTGGTGTAAGAAAGGCAATTTTTTTATTGCCAAAGGGGTTGATCTAGAGATGAGTTAAATTTGGTAAGGATTTTGATAAGATTTGGCAAATAGAGATACCATTTCAGAGATGTATGGTTGACAAAAGTGTAGGAAATAGATCACATCTGAAAAGAAGGTCTAAGTTTATTTAAGGCGCATTGATTAAGTACTCTTACACAAAAAAAATTGTTAAACGAATAGTGGAAAGGAGAGAGGGGATTTGAAGAGAGCGCATTAGTAAGTGAAGTCGACAGGGATTTGTGATAGAAGGATAAGGTCGCAAAATGAGCATTATTTTAGACTGTATAATATTCTTAAATGCTTACTGAGAATTTGCTAAGAGTGGCTTACTATGGAAGGCTTTTCAAAGTTGAAAAGTCTAAAACTGTTCCAGCGTTTCCCCGAAAGAGTAGCTTGTAAGTAACGCTTTTGCTAGGAAACAAACGGAGCTTCTCTTGAAGAAGCCTGCGGCTGAATTGCTGCAAAGTTGATTTGGGTATGTAAAGACCGGCGCTATTGTATGTGTAAACCGCTGAAGAACGAATCATGCCGCTCAGTTGCAGAATACAGATTCCAGCTACAAAAGTGTGAACAACAAATACTGCTTTGCACGTTGGAGGCGGAACACGTGTGTAAAACGTCAGAAGCAGTTCAAGGACAGTAGAGCAAAACATAAGAAACACCAAAAACTGCAAGGAACTTTTTGGAAACATTTAGCAAACTTCATTTGGCGTCGGTTGGATGTGAAAGTAGACCCAACTGAAAGTTTCGTCTATCATTGTAAAACATAATAAACAGGTAGTCTGTAAATAAAACTTATGTAAATTTAGAGCATTGTGTCGAACAAAAATAGATCTTATTGTTATTTCGATCACTACACAAAAAACCGTTATATCACGCATGCACTGATTTTCAAAAAACATACAACTTCCACTCTACATACTCATTTTCTCTTCCCGCCTTAGTCCGCTAGCAGGGTTATAATCTGATGGTACCAAGAACAAAAATCCTTAAAGCTCTCAAAAGAAGACTTTGGCGCATGATTAGATGATAACGAGATATAAGACAAAATAATTAATCTCATTCAAATGTAAAGGTGTAATATAAGACTTTACCTTCCGACTTTACAGCCATTATAAACCAATTATAACTTCAAAAAAATTGAGAAAGTTGTAACCTGGGCGTCTCTTTTGTATGTTTCAAGAACAGGATCGATGATTACAGCATTATTAGTTGCACGACATCCAATAATGTATGTGTAGGTGCAGGAAATTGGTTCGAAGAGCTAAAACCTGCTTACATTCAAACAAGAAAATTCATACTGTCGAAGTAACTCTAAATGAAAATGTCTTTTTGTCTTTACAGGCTTCGATTATGAAAACGGAGGAATAACTTAACTGTCGAAAAACTAAGAGGTTAGCCATTTCTAAAACTCCAAATGTTGTATCAAAATAAGTTTACGAAGACAATATGGACAACAGATGGACGCTTTAGATAGCCCGCCGCGGTGCCTACTGAAGCAGTAAATGGAGGATTGCTAAAACAACTATAATTTCTTTCTGTTTATTATTATATTTAGAACGACTATATAACTTCAAGAACCGGCAGAATCTGTATAAAAATTAACAGCAAATGCACAACTACATTACCGTCAAAGTCGCCAAAACGACTGACTGCAAACGAGCATAAGAAAAATCGCACTGTTTTTGTGAACTTAAGAAAGAAAAAATGATAAACAGAAAATGATTTCTACATAAGGTGAATAAATTTGGTGCCCGAGAAAAACCACAGCGTTTGTAAAGACTATTAAATTCTATAAAGGCTCTACTGCAAACAGCAGAATCTGTTATAGAATCACTGCTTGTTTGAAGCACACGCAATAGTAAAGAGTAAAGAGACTATAAGTGTAATCGAGAAGTAGGTGGTTGTTAAATTTTCTTTAACTGGTTGTTTGCAAAGTACAAATTTCAAAGTACAGGTGACTTTTACTGTTAACTACTGCTTATATAAACTGTGCAAAGAATTTTACTGCATAACGTTATTTGTTTTAGTTCTTTCTAATCAAGACATCATTCAAATTTCTGTTCATACGTAACTACTCTCAAAAATGACAAAACTATAAAATAAATTGCAAACTAACAACTACATTTGCCAAGAAACGGTCACGCCTCAAAAATTCTATAAAAGGTGAAGCTCAAACACAGTTTTGGTCAAAAACGCAAAAAAATAAAATGCATTATAAGTTACTTCTACGACAACTCGAAGTGAAAATGGAAAAGAATTTTTTAGAAATACAGTTGTTAACTGTTATTTGTTATTATTTTACAGTTATGAAACATTTGAATTTTTCACTTATACGATACTCTCTAATTTGTAAAATCCACTGGTCATAAATTTTCACTGAAAGTGGAATTCGGAAAACAAAGGTGAAAGTTGTATTGAATATGAAGTTATAAAAGTAAACCGGTTTTTTAAAGATCACAAACTGCTCCTTAGGTGTCACTAATATTTCAGTTATTATGCCGAATTTGAAGAAACACAAAATGAATTAAGAGTTATCCCGCTTACGGCTGAAATTCAAGGTCGAGAATTTTACCATTTATGAATCTTTGCTGATCTATTTGTCAATCGACTACAATTTTGTGTTGCCAAATAGTACAGCTGAGAGTCAACAAAACTTTATTGGTAAATTATAACTTTAAACACGGTTACATCGTCAAAAAGCAACCTCAAGCTTCCTGCTTGATGAGCCAGATTTAATCGTCATGAGAATTGAGGATGTAGCTCAACTATAAGGATTTAAGATTTTTTAGTTTTTTGCCGATTAATCATTAACATTTAGCAATTGAAACATCTTTTCTGGCACTATTCATCAGGGTACATTGTTCAAATGACGCTAAAATACTAAATATAACTTAATAAACTACTAAAATTAGGCAGTGTGTCGATGACAGCTCAAAAAAAAAAACAACTTTGTTCCCTGCACCGTTGACGTCATCTGACATCATTCACCTGTCGCCTGATACAAAAAATTTCGCTGAATTTACAGTATCTTCCTGTTGCAACAACAAAATTGTAAAAACATTCCCCCTCAGTTTTAATTCTTATTTTTTAGCATCAAAAATAGCTAAAATTTAATAAGTGTAAACAGCAGGAGCAATCATGAAACTCAAGACTATAAAAATAATTCAAACTTTATTTCCAACAACAAATAAATATTAGACTTTCAGTGCTTGCAAAGTATCAAGTGTAACTTAACAATCGGTTAATACGCATAGCTAGGAATCATAACAAAAAAATCCCGTAAAGCACTTAAAAACTGGAAAATTGACCGCAATTAAAAAATAAAATAAGATGGAAATGTATCATTCCAGAGTTTCAAGAAACAAGTTAGCATCCAACCTTCAACTTTCACTATTTTCTGTTCAGTGTAAATGACGATATCATAGAAAATTTCACTCAGAAATATTGAAGTGAAATTCAAAAGCAGTATGCTGAAAACCTTCGAATCAGAAGAATCAGCTTGCTGAAAGAAACCAGTTGATCAATTTGTAAAAGTCGAACCAAAACTGATTAAAACAGAGTAAATTAGAAGGATTTTTTGTTATAAATTTCCCACAACACTTTAAGTCATTCTTTTTCAGTATTCTCTTCAGGTCAAAAACTTCACCCATGTGTCCTAAGTGATTGAAAATCCCGCTCCTCTAATTGTCGACTGAAACACCTTTTCCGGCATCGTTAATTTCTTTTTTATTTTCTGCGAGTTTCTGAGACACATTATTATTTTATGACATTTATTGGAGATGAAAATTATCATAATGCCTTCAATAGCCAACATCTGGACAATTTTACAGATGCAGAGAGCTGCTTCAGATGGCTCTGAAAGTAATTCATCACTGAGAGTCTAATGAAATACATTCTTTTACGCTATATTATGAAAACCATATAAATTTGCTTGTGGTAAGCAGAAGTTGTCTTCAATCCTAAAATTTTTAGAGCATTCTCTTTATATACTTCCTGCAACTTCTCTCACCTCATTTATTAGTAATACTGACCAACGAATCATTGGAAATATAACAGTGCAGCTTCAAAAAACAGAATAATCAGTTATACTCGGTTATATCCCCTACTTTCAAAAAACGTCACTTTTGCAACAAAATCTCTAATTGATCGTTTGTGAGGAGTAAGAGCCAAGTGTCTCTGTAATAAAATCCTTACTCAGCACTACAACGCTCCCCACGCCTGATATTATCTCGCAGTCTATACAGAATCATGTCCTGAAATCTTTTACAGACTCCAAACGTAGAAGAGGTATCAACCACGGCCCGGCATTCACCCCGTACACAGCTTCACTTACTCATGACAGCTGCGCACCTTAGCGGACCCTATCCACTAAAAAGGCCCTATGCATAAAAGAAATATAGATTTCGCAATAAGAGCAGAAGAAAAACTTCTTAGCCGATTGAGCAACTGTTAAACAAGTGAAAAGGCTCGATGTTTACGGGGTACGAAGAAGAAGAAATTCAGTTAATACGAATCTGTCGCTGCATTGTTTTTACTAAAAAGACCATAAGAGACGACTTTAACGTTCAAACAGTTTTTCGGTTAATTGCAAAAAATAAGTTTATTCCTAAAGACTGCTGGTCAAAAACAGACTTTATAAACGGTTGCGTTTAGCAAGGTGAAAAACAAGAATATCAATTCCCTATAAAATTTAATTGTGAAAGCATAGGCATTTTTAATTTACAATTTATAGACAGGTTTGACAAACCAATTAGCAAAACTGGCCCCCACAACGACCAAGAGCAATATTTCAAAAAATTACTGGTAATTAAAGACAAAGCAATAAGAGACTTCAAGAATGTGTAAAAAAACGGATAGCAACTCAGGAGATGCTGAGTAAGACGACGCTAACCCTTCAGGCTGCCGAGCAAGGAAGGGCAAAACAGAGGAGATATATGAGTAAGGCGTATTGAAAGGGGACAGGGGAAGGTGACGAAATCTGCAGAAAATTTAAAAAATATCTTACTGTGACGACAACATAGAAGTATAGCAGGTATAATAACTTGAAAGTAATATCACATACCAAACAAACAAATGTCAAATGTTAGTAGAAGCCAATAAGTTTAGAAAGAATAACAGTAAAAACAATATTAAGTTTAAAAAGAATAACAGTGGAAAGAATAATAAATTTGTTAGAGAACAACAAAAAATAGTGGAATTGAAAGATAGTTGCCTGATAAATTATGAAACTTTTTTAAAGCAGGAGATATAAAAAAGAGAAAAAAGTGAGGTAATTCTTCGAAATACATAAAAAGATAATGTCCAGCAAGAAAAGCTAATTGGTGAAGTTATAATTTGGAAAAAGAAAGACGGGTACAACAAGAAACTAAGGTTTTAACATAGAGTAACTTGAGATACGCAAGAAAAAGTGGGGAAACCCACACTACATTCGTCAAGCTGACGATCCTGGAAAAGTCAACTCAAACATTTTTTGTATGAAATTAGTAACTGCCTGTTTATGAGCACTCAGTGCTGGAACAAGGTGTCCGCCTTTATGAACAATAACCTCACACTTATCGCAGTCAAACATTCCAACCAGTTTCTCACTAACCTGGAAATCCACCACCTGCAAATATCTAGTAAGCTAAAACCGAAAAAGAAACATTAAAAGCTACAAGACAGAAAAAAACAGAAAAAGAAAAAATTTACGGGACAGCAAGTATAAAACTTGTGTATTTTAATGAAAGTGAGATAAGACATAAATTAAGAACCAGAAGCTTAAATTCCTTTCCCGTTCCAGCTAAGTATAGAGAACGATTAAGATTGTACCAAACTTTTGAGAAAACCCCTTCAAGAAAAACAAATAAAAAACAAAAGGTATCCAATGAACCACATACGTCTACTCAAAAACTTAAAGTTTCTACCAAACTGAACCCTAATTTTTTGCAATAAAGTGAAGTATTACGCCAATTACCATATCAATCTTGTACTTCATAAAGTGTTTCCATATGAGTTAACAAAACTAACCTTATCGTTCTCGCCAAAAACATGGAGGCAGTAAATGTCGCCTAGATGAGTTTCCATCAACTCAGAGTGTTTGGTAGAAAGACTAGGGAACCCAGAAAAAAGAATCATAAAACGGAACTCCATGTTGATTTCTGTAAATCAAAAATTGTCAACAATTATACTACTAATTTAGAGCTCTGAAAACAGAGTTCCAACAACCAGATATAGAAAATAAAGTCACTTATACATCGTCCTTTGCTACAACTGCTTTACTGCCTCGTGAATTTAAAAATAACCTTTTCTAGCTCTCAAGGCTGCAAGTAAAACAGCGAAAGCTGCACCCTGACTGAAAGCTAACAAGCCATCATAAGGACCCTGAAAACAACTTTCGGCTACCAAAATATCAGCTTCGTTCTTCAACTGCTCAACATTCCGGAGAACTGTGACTTACGGTAAAACCTGGAAAGTAAGAAATAACCTCTTCCGCAGCAAACTTCACTATTTTTTCCACTGATTCTTCAAAACCTGTGTCTATATCAGTGACATCTTTTGAACTAAATTGGTTATCTGGTTTGGAAAACCACCAGCCACGCGCTTCTCCTCTATTGTCATCAACTGAAGTGTCTAAAACAAATTATTTAGCAGAACAATTGAATTTTCCATCAGGTATTGATAGGAGAATGAAAACTTGGTCTCATGTTCGTACGGAACATCCTAAAAAAAGCACTGCATTGTAAACAATATTATATCGAGCCTGCTATGATGATTATAATCTGCCAGAAAACAAACTTGCATCATCAATCGCAGCAGGAATGTGAGGGGCGGAAACAAAATCTGGAAATGAACAATAATATCAAAGTTAAGAAGTACAAGAAAGTTCAAGTAAAGAAATACTTCACTTATGCTTTATTAAGCTAGCAAAAAATAACAAAAAATCACCGAAAACTGCATATTTTTTAAGCAGTTTTCGCAGTCCTCCGGTCTTCTCCCGAAAAAAATCCGCGTTCTGTCGATAACCATGAAGGCACAATATCTGAAAAGCTTCATAATTTGTTAAGGCTTACACCGTTTACGCTACATCATCGGTTCTCAAAAGCAACTGGTTCATCAGGGTAAATTAGACCAAAATGAAAAACGAAAGAAAGCGTTTACTGAAGCAGGCTCAAAACAAGCAATTACTTCTGGATAACTTGCAAATGGACAGAAATGAAACAAAAGGCCACATAATGCGGTTTAGGCATAGATGAAATCTACAAACACTTCAAAACCGTCGAACAGCCAGCGTACCTTCAACTTTTCCATTTCTTCAAGAAACACTTCTCTAAAAGCAGGTCAAAGTGGAGACTGCTGATAATATACCTAACCTCAAGTCGATATCCAGAACCCAACGCAGCCAAGCACTAAAACGTAAAAATGCCAGAAATTCTGTAAAACAGCATAAATCCCGAATGTAGTGTGTAAATAATTATTTCCAACAATAGGAGCCACACAACTCGGATTTTTAGAAACAAATATCGACCAAATACTCATCGACATCAGTCTGTTCTTTATGAAACCAGAATGTAGGTAGGCAAACCAAGTCTGCACAGAAATTCCCACGTATTTCAAAATTTTAGCCATCAATTTTGCTTTCCTTTTTCCATTAACATTTTTAGTTTGTGGCCAGAACGCGTCATTTGCGAGACAACCGACGCGCACCTCCTGTGGTTTAATTTTAATTTCCAAAAAAAAGTCAAAGAACATTAGGCCGGGTCGGAATTTTCAACCAGGTTGACTTGAGATCAGTTTTTTCATCACACTTAACAATAACTGGCTTCCAAATGAGAGAAATTGACTCCTCCAACATCTGGCGATGAAAAGAAAGCAACAATAAAAACTTGGGAGAAATAACAGATTTCTTTTGCGGACTGATACAATAATACAACTTGGACCAAAACAAAGCTCTGGTTCCGCCTCGCGAATCATTACTGATACTCCGTAGGCGAACTTTCACGGTAAGCACTTTCCCTTTCTTCATAGAAGCCTTATTTTTTTATTTCATCATTCTCATAAAGGACGGATTATGAAAACCGGTATCTCTTTCTTTTTGAGTGAGTTGTTATAATTCTTAATTATGTATATGTATCAGTGCTAATCAATTCCAAAGTCTATTTTATCTCCTGCCCTTGAAAAACGGTCAAATTTAATTGCAAAATGCTTATACCAAACCAAATCCTCTCAGTGGCAAATCTACGAGTAAATTAGTGGAGTGTTTTTTTTTTTATACAGACGATAAGGGCTGCCTGCTTGGTACTATTCAAGCATCAACATAAACTAAAAAACTGCGAATTTTCTTATCCGGGACTTCTCTCTGAAGCAAAAAAATCCCATTTATTGTACATTCCACGCCAACATGGTTTTCTTGTCTTATTCATTTACTATTGTTCTACACATATTAAATACAGTTGGCGACAGTAGAGTACAAAAGCAAACATGTGCTGTCGAACTGAGCCATTCCCGTGCAGCCTCACATATATCACCGTACTATCCCCCGAAACTTTCCAGAGTAAAGGTAAAATTTCAGGTTGTTGTTAATAAATCGCCAGTTCGTAGTGATCTTTTGGAAGTACGCCAAAAGACGAACTGTTTAAATCACAAATATCCGCGTAAAAACTTTAGAGCAAAGCTGCAGCTAAATAAAGGGACAAGTGATCACACAGTAATGTTGACATCGGCAGGTACTCAAAAAGTACAAATGTTTACGTTGATCATTGAGGATACTGCAGTAATATTTTGATAAATAAAGTGGAAATAAAAAATCGAAATGACGATAAGAACAGTACTAATCCATCAAAGAACTAGCCGCATAAACAAACTTGAAACTTCTTCAACATTTCGGTACAAATAAAGAAAGTTTACTACTGCTTGTTCAGGGGTCTCTAAAATCCAGGTGTCGATAAGAATGAACTATTTTTCATGAAGTTAGCACTGTGCAAAACAAATAAGGTGTGAAAGAAGAAAGAGCAGAGCTATGAGCTGTTAAGATACTCGTAGAGACAGTTTTAAAAAATTGCTAATTATAGAAAAGCGTGCAGAATGAAACTAATGGGAATAAGGCAGAAATGTTTCTGTCACAAAGTATTTTTAAACCCAAAATCAGGACAATTTGAAAAACTTTGCGGAAGCCGTCTTCCTGCTCCCGTAGTGTGATTAAAAAAAATGAATGACGTTAAGGTAGAGATTTAGGAATAACTCTTCTAAAATATTTCTGTCGTATAAGAAGAATGAAAATATCTAACGATCCGTCGATAAGTTTTGCTGAAATTGCCATGACGCATGTTTTTTTTTATAACTGTCTCATTAAATTATTTTACATTACTCTTAAATAATTATTCGTTTGCTTGAGAGCTAGCCTTTTGTTAACAAGTCAATTAGCTGTGCGTAGGAAAAAGCATTTAAATTAATTTTTACAAGAGATGGAACGGTCAATAATAAAATTTAACACCTTTTTAACACTGTTAAAAAGGCATTAGTAATAGCACGAAAAAAAACTAAACAAACAGATAAAGGTTAACTGGCAGGAAAAAATTGCTTTTTGTTATCGTGCTGTTTTTCTGAAGTCATCAAATAGGCGTAATGAATCCATGGTGTTAGCACTGAACACAGAAAAGCAATGCTGCTTTTAGACTAACAATGGGCTGTTTAGTGGTTATTTCTTCACCTACTTTTTAGAATGCTGAACTGATTCTGAAACTGATATTTTACTTTTGTGTGGTCTTCTGAAAACTGCAACACATGAAGATTCGTTGCAGTTGGGGAGGTTTTTTATTTCTGCTTTTGCCATTGAATCACTTGACCAATTACTTGTGTATTTAGTTTCTCTTTTTATAATTTTTATTTTTTTGGTGTAGATCTTTTTTTCTAATTCCTCATGCTCTCTTAATTTCAGTTTATTCTTTGTATTGATTTAAGAAGTCAGAAGTGGTTCTTACCTTAAAAAATTCTTCCATTCTTATCTAAGAAGTCATACCACGGTTACTACACTTGTTCTAAACGGATAAATAGAAGGATAGATGTGTCGTTGAAGCGTAGAAATACTTCAGCAGTTTAATATGAAATAAAAAATATTGTAGAAAAAGATATAAAAAAATTTATTTTAGTCTAGGTCTAAAACTCAAAATTGCCTCTGTTATTTTTTGTTTACTTTAGTAATATACGTTTTCCAAACAGGAAGAATACGCCGCTATCACTCAGGTATGATATTGTTTTGAGTTTCTCAATCAGAAAATAGACTTTTTATTTTTTTTTTCACTGTTAAGAATGATATGTAAAAATAGCTAATTTGTTGTTCAATCGAATTTGTTAAAAACACAGACCTAAAACAGCTTAGGAGCTTTACCTAATTACTTCTGCTCTTGTAACTGTAAACGATTCTCCAATCTTGTAAGAAATTCTTTAAATTCAAAAGCTTTAACCCGTTCTAACGAATGAAATATGTCCATTCAGTTTGAACTTCTAGCTCACTTAAAGTTTTGTTTGACCTTTACAAGTGTTTGTTCAAAATGAAATAACTTTCTTACTACAACTATAATCCATTCTTTTTGCTAGTGCTACACAATTGGAATTTCCTGTCTAAAATATAGATGTTCACAAAGCTTTCTTTTTTGATAACTTATTGTATTAACGACTATTTTGTAGCATGACAATACACTATGTCCAAGACCTAGCTACAGCTCGAATTGGCAGCCTACTAAGACTGTTGCTCCGATGGAAAGGTGGCATATGGAAGTCTGTTTATTTTGACTTGATTTTATGGTCTATTGGCTACACCATTATTGCTGTGATCTATCGTACCACATTATCGCCACAGCAGCAAAGGTAAACGAAGCTGAATAAATCTTCAAGTTTCACTAACAATTTTTTTTGCTTCTTCATAAAAAATCTACACTTTTTGTTGTATTTATATTTTCGATTCTGTAACATTTTGAAATTGGTTGTTAAAAGACTGCAGATTTTTTGCGAAATGTTTGTGCTGCAGAAATTTCTGAAAATTTTCCACTCAAAAAAGAGAATTTAAAATGAAAAAAAAATTTTTTTTTGAAGAACCTTCGCACTAGTCGTTCAGTTTTGTAGTGGATTTGATAGCTATATGCCATTAGTATTTATGCTTGGATTTTTTGTGGAAACAGTGATGCGCCGTTGGTGGATGTCTGTCAAAAACATGGGAATAACTGATGAGTTTGTTATTTGCCAAGTGCACTTTCTCGTAAAAAATTATTTTTTTTGAAGAGTTATGATTATGAGCTACTAATTTAGACTGATGAATTTTTAATGTTATAATACTGTATCAAAATTTATACTGCGGTAAATAGTAAGAGACGTTTAGTAATTTACGGAAACTTTTGCTCATTAGTAGATCCAAAAGTTTACTTTTCAAACCAAACAACTTAGTAAGATTTCCTAATTTCTGTATTATTGTTCACTTGCACAATCAAACTTTTTCTAATCGCTATAAAAAATGAAACTAATTTCAGCATGGCTTTAACCGTTGCCAGCTATCTTCCTGGTGTTGACGAGACGTCGATACGTTACAAGCGAACTATTGTTCGATATATGTGCTTGTTTCAGGTGCTTGTCTATCGTACCGTCAGCACTGCCGTCAGAGAAAAGTACCCAGATTTCGAGAGTCTCGTTAGAAGTGGTATTCATAATCACATTTTTACAATGAAACAGTTACTTTTTGAGTTCTTGAGTCACTAAACGTTTTAAAGTCAAGCGCGAAGAAAAAAGAAGTTTTCGGTCGCTTTTATGATTTAATATTATGAAATTATTTGATTATTTTGATAACCTACAAAGGTTTATTCACAGAAGTTTTATTTTGGTGATAGGAAAATAGTGAACATGTCACTTATTTGGCTAAAGTTATTTTGTATTTGAGAAGACGATAATGAAAAGTTTTAAATGACAGGATATTTGCTTCCGAACGAAAAAAAATTATTGTCCAAACATGACCTCTGGATGCCAATTCAGTGGTCTTTGGAGTTAGCTTCAAAAGCACGTGCTGAAAAACTTATTAAATCTGACTATTATTTGCGCCATATTTTTGAAACCTGTACACAGCTGAACACAACACTGAGAGTCATTTGGCTCAACGCTTGGATTAATATTCCGCTTGCATATACCCAGGTAATTCGTAAACTTGAAAGCTCTTTCTGTTATTGCATAGCTACATATCACTAGTTTAACATCAATCTCAGCTGTTTCTATTTGTTTATGACGATTAGAAGCATTTAGAGGCGGCTAAATTTTTTCACTTATTTATTCATCTTTTACATGCATCACATCGGCCTAATGTAGATGTTGAAGGGACGGTGAAAGGGGCGCTGTAAAAGTAGTAATAGTGTTCTTTCAATTCAGTTTGAGCTCACTGCGTGGCTATGGAAGTCTCCCAAAAAACTACAAAAGCTGTTGTCATATGAGCACACAATATCAAAAAAATAATAATCAAAGTATCTCACGTCACTGAAATTTCAGCAGCAGCTAATCGATCTGACAACTAAGCGCTACTTTCTGCTATACTGGTTGCTTTATTAGACAAATGTTGCAGTTATTTTTCAAAAGAAGGAAAAAAATTAATTTTTAAATTTTTTAGCATTTTAAAAACTTTTTTTTTGAATTCAGATAACGGAGTAGGTAGAAACACGTGTAAATCACTTTATAGTATTGAGCAAAAGAACTGCTTTTAAAAGTTGCTCTAGAAATTCGTGGGTGGCAGAAGATAAGCTGACGCTTGTTAGATGTTATTGCACTTTCGTCTAAGTATATAATTATCACTTCCTCTAGAGCTTGATAAATCATGATTGAAACAGCGAAGAAGTGGCTGTTAGAAAGAGATGCTTTCAAAGTTTGTCGCTGGTAGTTTCAGTTTTGCTTTATCTGTCGTTTCTCAGCAGCTGCAGCAAACTGACCCTTGGCTGCAGTTTTCATTGTTTTTGTTCCTCTGTTGAAAGTCTTGATTGCAGGATAAAGATCTCTCTCTTTTTTGGGTATGAAACAAAGACTTAGCATCAGATAAAACTCAAACTTATAGCATATATTTTTCCAGGTTACTACACCACCAAGCTCTGTTTGGCGTTTTTTAAGCTTTAGTTTACTAGATCTAAAGGCTTTCTCGCGTATATCGCAACAAGGTTTTTGATATAATTTGCATATATTTTCCAAATCTTAGGTTTTTTCATTCTTTTTTTGGCTAAACTGATTAGGCCTAACAAAGAGAAATAATGCAAGAAGTGAGATCTGTCGTTTTGCTTTTTTTCGCTTTCATTTCGTTTTCCTTCGTTCAAAAGTGAAAACTTGATGAAAGCATTGAACTGTTACCAAATTGGGTAAACATAACTTCAATTAACTGTGTTGCTTAATTGCTGCTCTCTGATAAAGTCAGAAGGAAAAAAGCTGTATGTACAGAAATTCATAAAGGAAGTTTTCTGTGTTAAGATACTAAGTAAAACCTTGCTTTTTTTTCAAGTAGCTACAAATAAACCACTTTTTGACCATATAACTTTCTTTTACTCTTTTACGTGTGGAAGAAGGAAATATCTTCTAGTTATAAATGTCTGTTTTTGCTTTTGAATATGCCGTTCAGTTTTGCCTTCAGTTTTAGGAAAACAGAAGAGACATATCTTTTTTTCACCCTTTTTAAGTTTATGTTATTTTTTACACATATTTGCAGATAACCTTGTCAGCTTGAAAACAGAAAAGGCTTAATACTTTATGAAATTAAAGCTATTCCTCAGCCTAACTTCGCTACTATTTTTGCAGAATTGTATGTGAAAAAGAAAAGTTTTTTTTTTCTTTCAGCAGCTTTATAAAAACTAAGGGTTTTGTTCAAAGAAGATTCAACTCGAACTTAGGAAACTGCTACTTAAATATTTGTTTGTATTAAGTTTAATTTACTCTTGCAACACATATTTTTGCAGATAGTATTTATCATCGTTCGACTGTATTTTTTAATCGCTATGGTTGGACAACAGACCCTGGTAACCAGTTTAGAAAATGTCGGTTTTCTGAGCGACAAATTTATTATTTTGCTAGAGTTTCAAATTTTGTTGATGAATACCATTATAAAAAACTTGACATTTAAAACCTAAACTGCTTCTTTGCTCTCCTAAAACTTTAGCTCAAAAAATGATCTAAAATCATCGTAATTTTAGTTGCCAAAACTTTTTGATTAACAAAGAGAAATTTGATTTCTAGCACAATTTTTTTTTTAATTTACGCTAGCATATTGCTTACTGTTTTGCACCGTTTTAGTTTGATTTGTACGTGCCGATACCGACAATTCTTTCGTTTATATTTTATTTTGGGTGGCTGAAGGTAAAAGCTTACATTATCCTTCTTTAAATCAGTATTTTAAAGACATAATAACGTTTTAGTGAACTAACTTTAATAACAATAAAAATAATAGTAATAGTAATAGTAATAGTAACAGTACAATAGTAATAATAATAATAAAAGTTGTTTTTGGGTTTTTGACTGTTTTTCAAAAATGTTATTTTATCAAATTTATACTGTTTATTTCAGGTAGCTGAAGCACTGCTAAATCCATTCGGCAAAGACGACGATGACTTTGAAGCCTTGAAACTATTAGAAAGAAATAAGACTGTAACAATTTGCATAATTTTTTTTTTTTAGAAAATGACAAATGCGCGTAAAAATCATACATGCAGTCATTGTTTTACAGATAGCAGTTTCAATCCTTGATCTCAAGTATGACGATCCTCCGCTTGATATTTTTATCAATTAATGTGAATAAGAAGATGATAGTGTCATGGTGCTCAGTAAAACTCACTTAGCTGATCTATGCTTGTAAATACAATTTTTGAAAATAAAATTAAAGACTGTTCATTACGATAATTTAACAAAGTAATACTAAAGTGATTCGACAGTGCATTACGCAACCCCGGCAGCAATCTTAAAATTCGGTGGAAATAGCTTCTCCAGCAAACGACAGGCATGTAAAGAGCACTAACGTGATTGATGATCAAATAAGACTTTTTCAAATTGGAGTTGCATCAGTGTTATATGGGAAATTTTGATACGGCCATGAAAACCGTTTTCTTTTTTTAAATAAAATCTATCTTCTTCTGTTGTTATACAATTGACAAAATAGTGTTAACTAAGTTACTTGTTAATTTTTAAATGATGACTTTATACAGCTGTTGGTACATAGGTCTTTGCCTATGGTCTATCGTTCTTTGGCTTTCGTATCTTTGCCTTCGCTTCTTTTTCTGACGAATCAGAGAAACGAAACGCTGAAGCTGATTAATGAGAATAATTGTGTATGATCAATAGAAAAAAAAGTTAGATATACGCATTCGGTTCTCCAAAATATTTCCATTCAAATACACACGCTCTCATGGTCATCAATTTAATATCTCTTTTTTTTGCTTCTTGTTTTATTACCCTGTTTTTTACTTGTCTGACTCATCTACACATTTGTAAACTGTTAAATTACTTGAATTTTTGCAAGTTATGCATAAATTTTAAGTTTTAATCTTTTATCTTTAATCTTGTTCTCTTCACTTTTAACAACACTTCAAGTTTCTCAACTCTTTTTCATTTACTTCACTACTTTCCACTGTTGCAGGTTAGCAACAAATGCACAAAGTTATTTATACGTAAAAACATAAAAAATACAAGCATATCATATCAATATCAATATATATATATATATATATATATATATATATAT